AGCGATGGCCTCCAACCTAAGAGCGATGGCCTCCAACCTAAGAGCGACGGCCTCCAACCTAAGAGCGATGGCCTCCAACCTAAGAGCGACGGCCTCCAACCCAAGAGCGATGGCCTCCAACCTCAGCGACATGGCCTCCAACCTAAGAGCGATGGCCTCGAACCTAAGAGCGATGGCCTCCAACCTAAGAGCGATGGCCTCCAACCCAAGAGTGATGGCCTCCAACCTAACAGAGATGGCCTCCAACCGAAAAGAGATGGCCTTCAACCTAATAGAGATTGCACAGAGATGGCCTCCAACCTAAGAGCGATGGCCTCCAACCTAAGAGCGATGGCCTCCAACCTAAGAGCGATGGCCTCCAACCCAAGAGCGATGGCCTCCAACCCAATAGCGATGGCCTCCAACCTAAGAGCGATGGCCTCCAACCTAAGAGCGATGGCCTCCAACCTAAGAGCGATGGCCTCCAACCTAAGAGCGATGGCCTCCAACCTAAGAGCGATGGCCTCCAACCCAAGAGCGACGGCCTCCAACCTAACAGAGATGGCCTCCAACCTAATAGAGATGGCGTCCAACCTAAGAGCGATGGCCTCCAACCTAAGAGCGATGGCCTCCAACCTAAGAGCGATGTCCTCTAACCTAAGAGCGATGGCCTCCAACCTAATAGAGATTGCCTCCAACCTAATGGACATGGCCTCCAACCTCATATAGAGATGACCTCCAACCTAAAAGCGATGGCCTCCAACCTAATAGAGATGGCCTCCAAACCTAAGGGCGATGGCCTCTAACCTAATATAGCGATCGCCTTGAATCTAAGAGCGATGGCCTCCAACCTAAGCGCCATGGCCTCCAACCTAAGAGCGATGGCCTCCAAGCTAAGAGCCATGGCCTACAGAGAGACATGGCCTCCAACCTAAGAGCGATGGCCTCCAACCAAAGAGCAATGGCCTCCAACCTAATAGAGATGGCCTTCAACCCAATAGAGATGGCCTCCAACCTTATAACAGAGATGGCATCCAACCCAATAGAGATGGCCTCCAACCTAATAGAGATGGCCCCCAACCTAATAGAGATGGCCTCCAACCTGATAGAGATTGCCCCCAACCTAATGGAGATGGCCTACCTCATAGAGATGGCCCCCAACCTAAGAGCGATGGCCTCCAACCTTGTAGAGATGGCCTCCAACCTAATAGAGATGGCCTCCAACCTAATAGAG